TTTTGTGGGTGGGGGGGGGAGGAAGAAGCTGCTGTTTGAGGTTGCGGGGAACCGGGGGACGGAACGGACTGCCGGTACCTGTCCCAAATCTCACCGCCGGTTTAAAGAATGGTGTCCGCGTGCGCTGTAGTGGTTGGCCCCACTGACGAACCCTCCACGCGCCCAAACACACAAGAGCCTGCACGGTAAAGAAGCGACGGCCGGTGAAAAATGAATTTGTTCGCTCCTTTCCTTCCTTCCCTCCCTAGGTCTTCCCTGTCTCATTTCCTTCCTCCCCTCCCTCCTTCCTCTACTGTCAATTCCTGCCCTTTCACCTCCGTGTTTTTTGTTCCTTTATTTTCCTTCTTTCCTCTCCTTCATTGCTTCCCTTTTACCTTCTTTCGCACCACAAAACTTTCACACATCTGTTGTTTCTGACTTCATTCTGTCCTTCTCCTCATCCCTTCCTTTCTTTCCTTTCTCGACTTTCATCCCTTCATTCATTCCTTCCTTTTAACATTTCCCCTTGCTTGCTTCCTCCCAACCCTAAAACTACCTTTATTCTCCTTTCCTTCCTTCCCCTTAACCACAAAACTCAACTACTCATCCTATCATCCATTACTCTTTCCCTCACTTTCCCTCCTACTTTCTTTCCTTCAGTCCTCTTTTTACCTTCTTTCTTTACCATTTCTTGCCTTTCACTTCACCTGTTGTTCCAAATCGGGTTTCTCTTTCACTCTTTTCCTATTTTTCCTTCTTTCGTCTACTCTATTTCCTCTCCTCTTTTCCTTCCTTTCTCCTCCTTTCCTAATGCCCTAAAAAGCTAATTGCCCCTAAAAAAAAAACACAAAAAAACACAAAAACGACAGACCAGCAAACCAGCGGGGCATCACAGCCACCGAGTCCGCAGACGGGCACCCGAGGGGAGGCGAAAGACGCGCGCAGCACCCTTACCGCACATACCGAGCGAGGACCATGGAGAGCGCAGGCAACGGCTCGGGCGCGGATTACCGGAGCCAGCTCCCCGTGCTTTACAACAACGACAGCAGCAGCTTCTGTCGGAACTTCACCGACGGCAACAACACCACGAGCTTCGCGGAGGGGCGATGCGGCGAGGAGCGCGGACTGACCGGCAGCCTGGAGGACGACGCCAACCCGGTCATCATAGCGATTGTCATCACCGCTCTCTACTCCATAGTGTGCGTGGTGGGGCTGGTTGGAAACGTGCTGGTCATGTATATCATCGTCAGGTAGGACAGAAAAGTACTCACAAAAAAACAACAACAACACTGGTGTGTGTTTTCTGAGCTGTTACACATAATTAGGTCTTTTTTTTAAAACAGACTTTCTAACACGACTGTGAGTGAGAAAGCACACTGCAGCAACCTGTTGCTGTATTAACCATATTAGGCATAAAGTGTGTGTATGTGTGTGTGTGTGTGTGTGTGTGTTTGTTTATGAGGCCGAGGGAGACCATGTGAATGCGGTGTTGACAGCGCTGCCAGCTCAGCTGCCGTTCGTGCGTAAAAATGCCTCCAACCTCCCAGCAAGTTGCTCCAGTGCGCAAAAAAGCGAGCCAAACGAGGGGGTTGGATTGGAAAGGCACAAAACTCGCTTCCTCTTTTATACAGCAACATCCAATATCCATACAGAGATATAATACATGTATATATGTATATAAGACACTTGCTGTCTCTATGTCTATTTCATCCACAACACCATAACTGAACTGGAAGATCACACTGATGTGACGAGATGCTGCACTCCCATGTGTCATATGCACAGTGGCTGCTGTCCTTTGTTCGCTTGTGCTTATTCTAGGTTTAATGTAAATTGGAAAGTGGAAATGCTCTTAAAACTTGCCATTGGCATACAGCTGATGCATACAGTTGTCCCGATGTGCTGCTCTAGACTCCAGCAACACTGGTTTGATACGTATTATTCAGTGTGTATCATTTATAATAAAAGCATACAAGATTTAAATTACAATGTCATCTACTGCTTCCCCTTCTTAAATCTAGGCCACTCATTCCGAATCGTTGCACTCAGCTGACATCTCATTAACTGATATTTTAAACTTTGTTTCAAACAAATGTCACACTTTCAAGATCTCATCACAGCACAAGCTTTTATTCTCTTTAATCACATGTCACAAGGACTAAAGGATATGAGCGGTGCCCAAATGAAAGATATCAAGGCCACTTGCTCTTTCTACAGAAACGATGAGACTTCTGATCTCGCAGTCATTTCACACACTAAATGAACTTTTTTTTTTAGAGAGGTCAACTGACAAAGGAGTCTTACAGGGAGAAATAACTCGGCAGATCTGTTGGTTTGCCTGTTGATTTTCCATTTTCATACACTGAAAATTCTCATTGTATTTTTAAATACACAATATAAATACACTTTTGTGTTAACTTAAGACATAATTAGATTGATAATCACCTATCTGCTATTTTGTGTTAATAAAATCAGCCCAGTGGGATGGATTTCACCACGAGAAGGAGGATTTTTACCGGCGGCCTTTAATTACACACATATCTGGCATTTATGTTAGTTAAATGCTCCCTGGCTGATGCTATATATGTCAATCCGGATGAGGCTTGTTCAGGTAATAAAAGTCAGTAGATTGGTGAAGCAGAAAGAGGGGTGGAGGAGGAAAATGAGGACAAAACTGGTGAGAGATGAACTTTGAAAAGAGCTGGACATGAGTGGAGGGTTGAGGGGAGAAAGATTGATGGTGAGCGTTGAAAGGGTTAAGAAGAACTGCAATAAAGGTAAGGATGGTCCAATTTCATTTTTCCACCTTGTCATTGCCTCATTACCTTGTGTGGCCAAGTGGAGGATTTGCTGTGCTGAGCGTGTCAGACATGTGCTTCAGTGGCTTTAAAATTGAAATGACACCACTTTATTTGAAACACTAGATGTCAAAAGAGGAGGAGACTTCTTTATTTTAATTTACTTCTCTGTTACTACTAAATAATACACTGTATCATTACTTTGTTAACACCTATAATTCTCCTCACCTCCCTGCTGTTTCCAGGGCAGATGCAACATGAAGCGAATGCTCATTTGCAAGGCTGCACACATCATCCCCTTCAGTCTGAGTGCTTCCCCAAATAGTTCTGTTTGGCTAAAGAATGCACACATCTTTTTTCAGAATGTTTTCTACCCCCAAATTATTTATGGATGGAAAGAATAGTAGAATATTTTACTCAAGTAAAAGTAACATTACTTGTGTTAAAATGTACTCAGATAAGTAGGGTTAATACTAGTGTTACCTTTTAAAAGGCGGGGTAAATGATGATGATGTTATATGATAGAACATTACAGAACACCTTCAGGCTATAAAATAAAGTGCATTCACATGTCAACGTTTGAACCACACCACAGAGCCCTAATTTGTAAACCAACAATAAATTAATTTTCTATAGACCGACATATATAAAACAAAATACACTTTAACAGCAGAATAAAGCATTGCCAAGCGGACAACACAGAGATGTATAGACATGTTGTACATTTGTTTGAGGCCGCAAATTCCTCCAGAGTCTGCTATAGGTTATTTTTTTCTGCTCTGTGCATGTTGCATTCTCAAATTAAAATGTAACCAGTCCACTCAGCCTCTGTGTCCCACTGTGTCCCTCAAAAATGTTTGAGCTGAATGAGCGCTCGACAGGCCTCACACACCTCACTGACAATAGAAGTTCCTCAGTTAACACAGAAGTTACTGCTGGAGGTTCCACCATGAGCATGTTAGCATTTAGCATGTTTGCCAGACCCAGCATGCACCTGTTCATCATGCAGCAGCGTGGGTGAGTTGGGGTGTCACCTCTCTGCACTGGAGCTCTGGCCCACTGGAGACTCACCCGCACCTTCTTCTCTGCTGCACTCGCTGATTTATCACCTTTCTTTTGTTCCTTTCTGACATGGTTTATCCTGACTTTTCACGTGATTGTTGTTGTGATTCTTACTCTGTGGATGCGACTTGAAATCTTGTAAAACACAGTACTAAAAAAAAAAGACTCAAGTACAAGTGAAATGACTTTGATTTTAAAAAATACTCTTTCTTCCACCAGTGCCACTGGCACCATAGCAACAAAAGTGGAAAATGAAGGGAGAGCACCGGGCAAATAGAAGTGAAATCTCCTTTTGAAGTATAAGTAATGCGCCAGCATTGTTTTAATAACGGGATGTATGTCATCAGCTGTCTGGCAGGGGCACAAGAGTGTTTACGATGTATGAGCTGGTATACAAGCGTGCATTATGTATTCCAAACTAGTTTGTCTACAAAGCAGATGATAGATGTGAAGGGCATTACTTGAGCTTTAGCTCGCTCATCCTTGGCTGTTTTGTGGGAACAGATTTAGGATGACACACTTGTCCCCTGCCTTCTCTTGTCTGGAATAAAAAATGGGCATCAGCCCTGATACTGCCACAACCAGGAGTGTGTGTTTGTGTGCAGGCATGCATGGTTGTGAGAATGTTGAGGACCGTGAAAAGTTTTGTGGATTTCTGCAACTTTTTGAGCTTGACTAATGAGACTTTAGGGGAATTGGGAGGAAGGTAAAGGATATGTCTCACTCCTCTGAGAACCACAATCAATCAGTCATTAACATTCATCAGCCTTTTTGTCTTTCTCTCTACCTGCCTGTCTTTTGGTCTTTTCTCTCTCTGCCGGCAGATTGAAAATGAACAGCCATTTAGCTAATGACACACAGTGGATATTTACTTGAAAATGGAAATGTAGTCTTGAACTCTTTGTCCCCACTTTACCGTCATGGCCTTGAACGCAATTTTGCTAGATTAAACAGAGACAGCAGTGGATGAGAAATGTTTTCCCCCCTTACTGTCTGAGTAATGATAACCTTAAAGCCATAAAACATTTCTCTCTCACTCTTTATCTCCCTGTCCTTTTGCTCGTCTGTTCGCTCCACACTTACATCCGCAAACTTCTTGTGAGCAAACAAACACAACCAGGGATCTGCATGCTCAATCGGAAAAATCAATTGCGGTTCAACAGAAACCGCTGGGCTCTACAAGGAATATGCCGCCAGTACAGAGTGCTTTCTGTTACCATGGAAACACTGGGAGGCGTTTTGAGCCTGATGAGTGCAAAATGACTCCACCACCTCCCCAAACCCCTGCTTCCATCCACCGCCCAGTTAAATGAGCATCGGTACCTGGTTGGTCACATTCAGCAGCCAAGGTGTTTCTAAAACTTTAAATGCTGTTGTTTTGGAGGCTTTTGAACATCTGCACCCGCTGACCTGGATGCACTAAACTGCTGTTACTGACTGCATTTGTTATAGTGCTACATGCAGTACAACAAATGTGACCTTGTGTAATTCTGTTACGTTTTCAAATAAGGCAAAAATTCTGTGACCCTGCTCTCTGATGTCAAAGTAACTTCTAAACATCTGCGTCTCTGATGTTTATGTGTGAGTTTGAACCCAGTTACATGAAATATGATGTTATGATGAGAGTCAACACAATCTGGTTCGCAAGACTAATGTCATAGATCCTCACTAATGTTTCTCTCTAATGGGTTTCTCGTAGCTCTCACTGCCTGACATGACAAATAGTCTCAGGCTGAGTTTCTAACAACTAGCATGCAGTCTTTTGAAGTCCAGGTTAATGCTCGGCAACAAAGCCTTTCACAAAACCATTTCTAGTGCTTGTATTGATTGTAAGCAATCTAAAAAGATAAGAATCTTTGTGAATTTACAGGATATTACTAGCCGATAAAGCAGTTTCAGTGTAAGGAATGGGGGGAAAACATCCAAGTCCTCATTTTGTAGATAAAATACTTCAAGTTCAGCTGAAGTTAATATGAGGCTTCAGCAGTCTGAGTTAAAACAAATCAAGTGGGTGTCTTTCTGTTTAGTACCAAACTCCCTTCAGCTGTGTCAAGAAAATACTGTCCACAGGAGCACAAAGAGGGAAATGCATACTAAAAAGACTATAACTTTGCAAGATAACCACTTGATTTGCCTAAGACTGCAGGAACCTCATTAGCTTCAACTTCAGGAAAAAAAACTGTGGTTTAGTCCCCTATCTCTTCCATCAAAATCGCTTTAGGGATGGGATTTCTTTCCAGTATGGACAGGAGGATTGATTACAGCAAACAGTACAACAATCAGGGCATATGGGCTTGTTAGTATTGTTTTATGATTGAAAATGTTACCGCTCTACCTGGGCCTTAACTGGGCACTGGCTACGTGCTGCGTTCCACAGTGGGATTTCCATA